TTTAATATTGTCACCCTTTGCCCAAAAAAAAATGGTTTCTCAAACCCGAGTACCCACGATCACCGTTTGAACGCCCATTTAATGACATCACAAAGTAATCCAAAAATCTGCCAGAGATTTTTCTTTAAAGTATTACTTCAGATTTTATCGTTGACAAAGCAAAATAATGAAAAGCTCCACACAAAAACATTTAAACCAAAATGACGGCACGGGACTGTAGCCCATTCTTTCGTGGTCAACTCTGCCGATTTTCATAATAAAATCTCGCTCAGGGGATTGCTTTCTTACTTCAAAATAGAAAGGTTTTAAATTGACGATAAAAGCTGTGAGTTGCCTATGCTTATTCATTCCAACGACAAATAGAAACGCCGATATTTTATATTTATATTTCGAGGATTTTTAATTGTTTTAAATCAGCACAAAGATAGATGCATCATTGATTGATTAGATGCGGGAAAAAAGCTTATTTTGGTATCTGGATGATAATAAAGGGTCACAATACCCTAAAGTGAGCATTCTAATTTTCTTGTCATTTAAAGTGCATTTCTATATTTAATCATTCCTGCTGCTCAAACCTTAGTGAGAATGTACGAAAGTAATCGAATAATTAAGAAAAGTTTGAAATTAACATTAATTATTACCGACGCTACCATGACTATTCCCTGTCTAAACTTAATCTACCCTCTATATAATTTTAGTAAGAAGACTACATAATTATAGTTATAGCCTGTGGTATGACCTGGAATTCGGAAATAAATCAACCTGTCACTACACCACTCTTTGCTTTTGAACGACCTCAGATTTTTGATTAATGACACCATTTAGTACTCCAAAACCCTGCCAATGATTCTTTTGAAAGTCTTCGCTCAGATGTCATCGTTGATACAATAAAATAATACCCTTTTAATGAAAATCCGTATTTAGGGGCTCATAACTCCATAACAAAAACATTTAAACCAAACGGTTGTAGCCCGTACACTTGTGGTCAACTCTGCTTTTTTTCCGTGATGAAATCTTGTTCAAGGACGAGGGTTTCGCCCTATGCCGATTGCTGTCTCACTTCAAAGGGTGTTAAATTGACGATTAAAGCGTTAAGTTGTCTATGCTTATACATTGCAACGAAAAATATAAACGCCGATATTTTATATTTAGGCCTAGGGTTTTTTATTGTTTTAAATCAGCACACAGATAGATGCCTTACTGAATAATTATGTGCAGGAAAAACCTCATTTTCGGTATGTGAATGATAACAAAGGGTTACAATGCCCTTAAAGTGAATTTTGTTTCAGGTCAAAACAAACATTTTCTGAATTTAAAAGTGGTTAACAGGCTTTCAAAAGTTACTAGCCATACCTGCTCAAAACTTACCTCCAACGATAGTTTCAATATTTCCGCTGAACTGATCCCCCGCATTATCGATATCTATTCGCCAGGTATAATTCCCGCTGTCATTGAACTCAGCATGTTCTATCACAACGGCGAAGTAGGTTGTGGGAGACCTAACGTTGCGAAATTTGACGTCACTTCTTGACGCAAAATGATTTGAAAAATTTTGGCGAATAACATTGCCAGGAAATTCAAAGAAAGTAAAAACGTGGCTGGTGTTATCTGTTCCATTCACATACAGGTCTGCAGCTAGAACGTAGCCGCTTTCTCCAGTCAATGTGTAGTTGCAAAACAGAGTCACCGCTTCTCCATTTTGTACGAAGATGCGGTGTGGAATAGGCGGAGAAATTGTAAATCCTTGAACACCTGAATTCAATAAATTCGTGATAAAAGTCTTGGTATTAATTTTTTAATACTGTTGGAAATTTAAAAAAGCAATTTGTAATACTCGTCTCTTATATCATCAACCGGAATATGGTTTTGAACGTTCATGTCGGTTATTGTAAATCTAACTGCATAAAAATATTATTATCTCAAACCATTCATAGTCCAGAGGCAAAACTTCGAGCAAACAAAGTATTTTTGGAGATAAAAATACTATCCACAAATTTTAATTTAATGTGCCATGTATGCAAAATAAAATGCGTAGATCAATGAGTAAAATTCGACATAAAAGTATACAGGAGTTTCCTATCGTATCAATCGGATCTGATCAATCAGTTTCCCTCCCCATGATGACATATTATGTTTTTGATACAAATAAGCGCCGTTACCTTTGGTTGTTTAAAAACAATATACTCGCATGGATACTTACATACTGCATGTAACAACACAATACAGTAAAGCGCCAGATGCACAGTCGCCATGATGTGTACTGCTCGGTAATCTCGTTGGCGGTGACCTTCACATTGATTACTGGTACAGGGTATCAGAAATAAATGGGAACAGTCCCATTTTTCATTTTTCAAATGGAATTCAAGGAACACACTATACAATCGAAACAGATTGGATATTACCGGATATATGAAAAAATTAGGGGGAAAAGCCAGAACCGTTTTACTAAAAGCAGACAGATAGAAACACATTGATTGTATGGGGAGGTCGGGAGAGAAGTTTACAAATTCGGGAAACTCCGGACGTAATCAGGGCAGTAGGTCTTCCACAGTAGTATTTGCACTGTTATTACTACAATGGGAAAGAAAAGAAGTGTGTAATACTTCATGAACGTGAACATCATCTATCATATAATCATCCTGATTATCAGCCACATAAAAGCCACAGTGTAAAATGTACGGCTTGGGAACGGATGCAGTGCTTTGCCTTTTGTATTACCATACGATAGGATCCCTAAAAGGTATGTCGCCTACTTGAAAAAAGAAAAGATAATAGAAAAAATATTTTGACATAAAAATGTTTTCTTCCTCTTAATTCTACAAGGGGTTGAAGGAAAAATGTTGTCTTTGTTGCAAGTACAAATTCTGAGTTATTGAAGTCCAAGATTTTAGTGACAGTTATTGAGACAACATATACACATGTAAAAGATAAGAGGATAAGCTCAGCGCCTGTGCCATATTTTGTGAGCTCTTTTGGGACGGAGAAAACCAAGATATATACTTGCAGATTCTCCTTGTTCATATTATTTTGAATGTATTTTGAGTCTTTTCGAACGAAAAAATACAACACACCAGCAATCAGGGCATTACCTTTCACTCCCCGTGCACTATAAACTCAAGCATAAAAATATCTTATTTAAAGATTGGTGACGCCTTAAGCAATTATCAGGATAACCACACCTGGTGAGAAAAAAATGATCATTTTTGTGCCAGTGTTTCTACATTCCACACGTCTAGGTCAAATCCAGGACCACTACAGAACTCGTACCTGCTGCCTCGTCTTTGCTCAGCAATCGGTATTTAGAAGATGAAACAGAAAGCAAACACCTGGTTAAGTTAAAATTCTGGTAATTATTTATATAAATCCCACATATCCATCAGTCAGAGTTGCACATGCACCTGTATGTTCTTTCGCGAGGAGTGGTTGTTTCATGCCATTATTAAGATTGTGAACATGCACATGTATATACAGTATACTGCTAAAAAGAATTTAGTGAACAGCGAAATATTGAACCATACCTATTTTTTTTAAAATTTAGCAATTCTGTGACTAAGTCATCATTCTGCAAAGGAAGTTATCTATACCTCAACTGTGCTGTAATAAAAATAAATTTTGCACTTGTTACAAGTTATAATTATGAGAATAAGGTTCTGGGCAAAAGTATTTGGCCTCCTAACTTCCTGGGGGTTATGCGCGGGTGAAATTTGAGGTTCTGATGAACAGAAAGCGTGCTTCCAATCACTCATGTAAATACCATCGTGACAAACTCACTGCAAGAGCTTTGGCAGACAAATCCTCTAGTCATGCCCCAACCCCGTGGTTTTTCAGTAAAGGAAAGAGGGGCCGATATAAGTTAACAAAATACAGGCTTTGGTATGTAAATCCTTCAGTAATTCACAGGCTGGTTAACGGTAACAGGGATTTAGCCAACGAACCCAGGCCAGATGAGTCTGGGCACATTCAGAACAAGCTGATCCGCGGCTCGCTGATCTGTGGATCAGATATGGCCTCCCCACTTAAAGACAATGCCTCATAATCCCCTAATGGACTCCCCACCTGCCACATGTGCCGTTGACTCCCTGCAGGGGCACAGCAATTCAATCTGGGCTGACGTTGCTGAGCCCAGATGCTGACGTATGCTGACGTTTGCTTTGTTCCCTATGCCTGTTAAGTAAGTCCTCAGATCAACATGTTTGGTACTGAAAAGCCTCTAAGAGCTGGGTATTTAATTTTGACACATTTCCTTTTTATTTTCATTTGTATAATGATAAGTGATAGTTAAATCCAAACACAATGTACAAGTCCATAAAGCTATGGTTTATAATTATTATTTTCACGTTTTAGGTTATTGATTGTCTGATTTTCTAAGTATTCTCTACCTTCTTTTGACCAGAATATATAGAAGATTTCAGGCTGAACTCAATCTTTACTTTCTGTCTTTTAAAGGTACATATGAATCGAGGGTCGGTGGAGGTGGATTCCCAATGACACATTTAAACCACTTCTACTAGTTTCTTTTATGACTCAAAAAAATTCGACATGCCAGGGGATAAACTGAATAAATCACTCGATCACCCAAAAAACAGCATAAAAAGAGCTTTAGGCTGCTCTTTTCTTTAAATTTTGGTCACAAATTTAACCTACTTATCTGACCTACTTTTCTGCCCCATCAATATCTAGCATAGAAAGCTGGCAGAAAAAATATCATTTTCGGGAAATATTAAGCAATGTTTTTTGGTAATTCTCTTAGTTATATTATTTGAAACGGAATGCTGGCATTTGGTTGACACTTGCGGTAAAAAATATCCATCTTTAACCTTTTTTCTTTATTTATTTGGCGAACCAATATTCAATTCATAATTTTTCACAGTGCACATTGTCCAGTATCCAATAACCATGAATAATCGTTAAATTATAAAAGATCTGTACGTGTCCACTTCTTTCAGGTGTTCAAGGATTTACAATTTCTCCGCCTATTCCACACCGCATCTTCGTACAAAATGGAGAAGAGGTGACTCTGTTTTGCAACTACACATTGACTGGAGAAAGCGGCTACGTTCTATCTGCAGACCTGTATGTGAATGGAACAGATAACACCAGTCACATTTTTACTTTCTTTGAATTTCCTGGAAATGTTATTCGCCAAAATTTTTCAAATCATTTTGCGTCAAGAAGTGACGTCAAATTTCGCAACGTTAGGTCTCCCACAACCTACTTCGCCGTTGTGATAGAACATGCTGAGTTCAATGACAGCGGGAATTATACCTGGCGAATAGATATCGATAATGCGGGGGATCAGTTCAGCGGAAATATTGAAACTATCGTTGGAGGTAAGTTTTGAGCTAGGATAGCTACATGTAGTAACCTTTGAAACCATTCTCTAAAAGAAAATTAAACAATTAATCTAATTTTATAACTTTTGCTCCTGTTTTGGCGTTTATTTAAATGTTTTTTCACCGAATGTCATGACAAATTTCCATTATAATCATTATAGCCATAACGAACTAGCACATATGTAAAATTTTGTTCTTAGAATCACCTAAGACGGCAACCTTAAGTACCACGCCTATCAGTGATACGACGTACGAGCTTAAGTGCGAAGTAACAGGAGGAATACCGGTGCCGGACATACAAATTCGAAATGCAAACAACATTCTTCTGCGTTCACCGTCATCACGCTCTGCGTCAAAAAACAGCACAGTAACCAGCGAGGACCGCTTCTATTGCATCGGTACAAATCCACTGGGATCCGTGAATAGTAGCTATGTGATCTTGCCCGAATCCGAAAATACTACCTCAGGTATGATCCCATGTTTATCACTGATACATGAACATTTGGCAAGGTATTTTATCAGATTTGTGCAATACAAATACATGCCCTGAATATCTCTTTGGTGTTGTTGTTGTTTTTTTTTTTTTTTTTTCAGTTAACTTGTGATTATTATAATGACTATTTAATATTCACATCAAAAGAAAAACAACATATGTCAATACACACGTTTTCATTTCTCTGACCTAAAATCATCCATAGAATACCTCAATCCTCAAGGTTTTACAAATAATTCCTTTTTGCAGTATCTCTTTCTTTCACTTCCCCTCTTGGTGATTCAGATAACAGCCCAGGACCAGGTATACGTTTTACATGTAAAGTTAGATAATAGTTCTGCAAATTTAGAATTTCATGCAACTGCATAATACTTATTTTATAACACTTTAGCAACAGCTTTTTTAATTATCTCTCAAAGGAGCGGTCCAAAAATTATGCAGTAAAATTCATAACTCTACATGTAGTTGACTTATCGTTTTTTGACCCAGGGACATAACTGGTTTCAATTTCTTCCCTCTTGCAGCACCTTCCGTTGCAACACCTGGGGATAAACGTAGCAGCGATGGCCCAGGTACATGTCTCAAACTTCAGCATAAAACTGTGCGATTTCGCCAGCTTCTAAAGGAGTAAAAAGATATCCCTGTTTTCCATTTTTATTTTATTCGCCTAACCCTGTTCTGCCATCTGAGGCATCAGAACCCCGATCACCAAACATAACTCTTATTCACATGCGCTTTTTCTCATTCGGACAACATATACTTTCATCATTTACTTACTTATGTGAGCAAAAAGGTCCACACACCACTTTCAGAACATTTAGGAAAATTGCTGTCCTCAAATCCCCCATAGAATGTTCCAATCCAAACCGCTTTTAAAACATTTCTATTTTGCTTTGCATCTTCCTTTCACTACACCTCTTGGTGGTTCAGATAACAGCTTAGGAAAAGAAATTTAGATATAAATATCATATATTTTATTGTTGTTTTCTTTTGTACAACCACGTTTCGGCAATATTCAAAAGCTACCAGTTGTCAAAAAAGTTTTAGTACAGATGACACCACACCCTTTCATCAGAAAATAAAACTTCAATTTGGATAATAATTTATCATTGTGATTTTACAGTTTTAGTATGATATACTTGATATTTATCTCAAATTTTAATGTTATAATTCTAAATAGTTGGTTGGAGCTGCCTTACATACATATTTAAGTTTTTTGTTCCATTTCGTGCCAGTGTTAATAATTAAATATATTTGATTTATCTGTTATTGTCAGCATAGTATTAACTGTACTTTGCTTCATTTTATAATATTTTTCAGTATCAGATACAACTGATGAAACAGATACAAAGGACGAAGAGCGTAAGTTTATAAACAGTTATTACCTCGAATACAATGTTCTGGTAACCACACAATTCTTCGTAGACTACCCTGCTGATTTAAGAGCCGAATTAACGTTGCAATTTCAGTGAAACCCGTTTCCTTTTCGACAATATCAAAATAAGATATTGCACTGTTAAGGTGACTCTAATTACGCGATTGTTGGTTTTGTAAAAAAAAAACAATTATTTTACACGTAAGCGTTTTGTTAGTTTATGATGCATTTGAAAGTTTCACTATTTTTTTACTTCTAGCTGATCCTGGAAAAACCGCAGGAATCGTGATTGGGCTACTCTTAGGCCTTCTTGTTGTTGTAATGTTGATAAGTTTTGTCCTGTATAAGGTAATAAGTGTGATGCTTATACCTTAACATTTAAAACGTGCAGTATATATATATATATATATATATATATATATATATATATATATATATAGACTTGACATTTAATATGGAATATTTTTTTCCAAATTATTTTTCATCAGTTTTTTCCTATTTTGCTGACTGATAAATGAAAATAAGGATTAAAATCATGTTTTAATAACTTTTATTTATCTCTTTGATGTCATTGTGACATCAGTTCATTAATAGAATTCGCCAGTGAAGCAAACAAAAATGCATTGCCTATTCTATGTCATACGACAACCATTGAAAGCGATATTTTGGATCTCCATATTTTCCAAATTATCGTCTTTAAAAGAGTTACATGCCCCACAAAGGACCCTCATGTCAGTGTCTTGTCATAGCAACGGTCGCTGTTACTCCTGACCTCATCTGGCTGCTACCAGAGCTTTATATATATATATATATATATATATATATATATATATATATATATATATATATATATATATACTGCACGTTTTAAATAAATATATATATTAGATAAAATATGCCCGTTTTATGACATTTGACATGCTACTTCCTCTAGCTTTTATTTCTATTAATACATCGAAAGAAATAATGCTATATTTTATTCAGTGACTTCAATTTGTGAGGTAAAGCTAACCAAAGGATTTCCTTAAACAAGCTGATCGGAAAGTTTGCGCATATGTCTCTCCAAAATTCCCTTTTGTGTTTTCAGAGACTGTACAAAAAGGAGTCCTTACTATCTGCCAGAAGTCTATTTCGTCAAAGAAAACAGAAAGCAACTAATACCCACGTGTACGAAATGCCTGTCTCAGATTTAGATGTATGTTGTACGAATTGTATATTTATCAAAGCTTTAAATAAAGCATTCAAATGCTGTTTTTATTAAATTCTGTAGTGATAGGTTGTATGACAGTTTCATTGACATACATAATTACCTTTTCACGTATCGCAGAATTAATAGTTGGGCTCAGAAAACGTGATTCGATCTAGAAAATTTTTAAAAAATATTTTAATCATTTTTAAACTTACAATGCCACAGAAACAAAACTCTTTATCAGTTATATCATAATCCAAATCATGCACGGTGTTTTGAATAATGCCAACATGCATTACATCTTAAACATTAGTGTGTTTTTCAGCTACAGAAAGGGGATACCTCTTCCAGGATCACAGAGAGATATTTGTAGGGTATTTTGCCTCACTGTTTCTCAATGTTTGTACACAGAACTGTACTCTTATATGTAGAGTTACATATTTAAAGGCACAACCCTACACAGAAGTATCGGCGGGTGATCACATCCGTGAACTCACAGCCAACGACATTCGGCTCCTGGAAACCATCGGGCATGGTCACTTTGGCGAAGTCTATAAGGCGATTCTGAAGAACGCCAAAACCACCAATACTGAGAAAATTGTGGCAGTAAAACTGTTAAAAGGTGCCGTTTATTAGGTTTAGTTTTATGTTGTAATATTTCAGTACATTATTAAATTAGAAACGAATTTAACACAACACGGCTGATTGAATCGCCAACCAATCTAAATCTGCCTCTAAGACACACGAAACTATACTTAATATACTCAACGCTACCAATTCCTTTTGTATTATTGGCACAAAAAATGCATGTTTGAACCAAAACAAAGACCAAATTTTAAACTACTCCATTTTATTATTTCTTTTGTTTTGCTTTCCCTTTATGCCTTTTACTTGCAATTCAGAACAATATTCGGAAGTGGACAAAAAAGAGTTTTTCAGAGAAATAGAAACCATACAGTTAGTACCAACGCACGAAAATGTGGTTGCTATGTTGGGGTACTGTAAAACAGCAAGTATGCATTTCAGTCAGTATAGGCAATGGCAATGAACGTTTCCAAAATGAAGCTAAACTGTGTATATTTTCCCTTATACCCTTTTAAACCATAATAGCTTCTTATGTTACTTGTTGCTATCAAAATGGTAGTTAAATTATAAAGAGATTAGTAAATATTAAATTTTTTGGCAGAAAATAACATTGTACTTCCATTAGATGAACCTTGCAAGCATTCAACTTTTTCAGGTCGAGCGTTCCTTGTGTTAGAGTTCCTTGGCAATGGTAACCTTAAGACATATCTCCGTAAAAGCCGCAGTAACAGCATCTATGGAAATCTGCATGGCGGAAGTGGCAAACTGACGTCACAGAATCTATTGACTTTTGCTCTAGATTCTGCTAGAGGAATGGCTCACATATCTAGATATAAGGTTTGTTGACTTTCTGACAGTCGCAGAATAGGTGGCACAATAATTTGTGAAGTAATGTAACGTTGATATAATGATATGTGAATTTGATTAAGTGTAATGCTCAGGGATAGTGTTGGCACAATATAGTTTATGGTTTATAAATGTAAAAAACTACGATAAAATGAGATGGACTCAATCACTTTACGCTAAGAAATGAGTTTTTCTTGAAATCTTTTCGAGAAATAGGGGGAATATCTGATTGCATTCTTAAACAGTTTGCACCCGTCAATAGTTGTACGTTTTAATTTGTCACCAATAGTTCCTGCACCGAGACCTGGCCGCCAGGAACATACTGGTCAGTGACGACATGGTGTGTAAGGTGTCCGACTTTGGTCTGGCTCGTGACGTCATTGACAGCAGGGAGTATCTCAGCAAGATGGAGGTAGGGATGCGGTACAAGTGGAAGTAATTTTTCTCATGGAATACTTTATGTTTTAGAAATAAACAGACGTTGATATTGATTGTTGAAAAAAAATTTGTAGCATTAATGTACGTGATATGTAAGTTTGGGAAAAAAACTAGTACTGCAGCATAAATTAGGGGTGGAATCAAAATGCGTTCAGTATTATTTTTTCACCAGACCCCTCTCCCTATCCGCTGGATGGCACCAGAATCCATCTCTGACAGCGTGTATACCACCAAGAGTGATGTATGGTCGTTTGGCGTTCTTCTCTGGGAGATTGTCACTTTAGGTAAGATGCAAACAATATCTGTTACTACAGGTATTTGTATTCATGTTTAAACAATGGACTGGTGGATATTTCTGATTATCATTTTTTAATGGTCAAATATGATTACTCAATCAGAGTTAGTTAAATATGTTTGTTAAATATGTTTGTCATTAAATTTTTATTGAAATATTTTTCTTTACAATTGTTGTTTTTTATTTTGGAAAGCTTCAGAGATAACTTGAAACAAACACTAAAGCAGCTACCCCTGCGGTTTCAAGTTAATGGAACTACATGTACACTGTTGTGTATATTTAAATGCGATTTCTTCTTATTCATTTTTATTTTCATAAATACTGACGTATACAGGAGCTACCCCCTACCCTGGTATAACGTCTGGACGAGAACTAATACGTGAGATCAGGTCAGGATACAGAATGGAGAAACCTCAACACTGTACACAGGAACTGTAAGTGAAATTCAAAGATACAGACAGGGATAATGCGAAATGATATGGATGCAAGTTCAAGAAATATAGAAATATGTCTACATGAATATGCACTATTATCGAGAACCGTACGTTAATTGAACTGTTAACGTTGTTGGACTAGTTTGTGTAGCAAATTAATTTTGATACAATGTTATATGATGTAGATATAATTCGGTCCACATGCAAATATCTGCAGTATTCCCCTCGATTTTTTTTTCTGAGGCAAGACATGTGTCTGACTGGATTAATGACATTTGAAAGTTTCTTTAAAACGCTATTGCTAAATTTCCAAACTGAAAAAAATAATGATAACTAGACTGCAACTGGATTAAGCCAGTGGCGGAGGATTCCCCTGAAAAATAGAGGTGGAATGACCTTGAAGAAAAAGGTCAATTACAAGGCCATGTGCTAAATCAGGCCTACCCAACTACCAGACTCGGCACCTAAGGATCCTGAATTAACCGGTATATCGGACCACACTACCCGTTTTCAAGGTGTGTGTCAGATCGCATTTCGGAGTATCAGCTAGAACACCGACAGGATGAGCCCTGGCATGCTCGGCTGTCACTTTGATTGGATAGTAAACGATTGTCGTAAAATCGCTAAATGATTTTAAAACCGGGCGCATAAATTTGAAAGCCACCTAGATGAAACTAAGACTGCCACATTAATCTAATACAATTAATGCAAAAAAGCCCTATCAAAAGTGGTTAAAACATTCAAACCTAATGTCATAAAGTCCCCATATACCCCCATAGAGACAATAAAATAGAGTACTCTAAAGTAAGAGTACAGTTTCAGGTTGTTCAGCCGAGCGTGGATGAGCCCGCAGTCGTGCTACAAAATTTATTCTGGGATATGATACTCCGAAATGCGATCTGACACACACCTTGAAAACGGGTAGCGTGGTCCGATATACCGGTTAATTCAGGATCCTTAGGTGCCGAGTCTGGTAGTTGGGTAGGCCTGTAAATCTGATCCCATATTCTGAGAGAGCCTATGTGGATTAGGGGAGGTGGGTCAACAAAACATCAGTTTTATCCCAAGTGAATATGTCACCTTGAAATGTCCAAATAACCTTGAAATTGAAGGTCAAGGTCAGATATGACATTTGTTTTGGGGATGTTGGGTATAGGTTTGGAGTAGTTTACTATAGTTTTTATCACAAAAAATCAGTATTTCATGGAGAAACTGACAAAGTCACTATTTCTGTGACATCATAAATATTCTAAAATCTATATTTAAAAAATGTATTATGCAATTCCTACAAAAGTTCAGTTAACATTAGATAAGACTAAAAGGCATCATGTGCATCTTAGAACTAGGCTCTGGGCCTCCCGGTTTTTTTGAGATATGGGAAAGAAACCTGTTTTAAGGCAGTTTGGCCATTAGCAATCTTGACTTTGACCTACTTGCACCCTAGTATTATATTGTCCCAAAAGTCCTTGGCCACATAGCTCTTACTTTAGGCATAATTGCAATTTCAAATTTTACAAATTTCGTCTTTAAATGCCACTGTGACCTTGAAAAGTGGGTCAAGGTCACTGTTGCTGGGTGTATAGCATATTCTGACCCTAGGCTACCTATGATCATTATTTCATTTTTTTCCAAAAAAAAAAGCGTGTTTAAAGAAAAATGTCCAAATGACCTTGAAATTGAAGGTCAAGGTCAAATTTGACATTTGATTTGGGGGTGTTGGGTATATGTTTGGGGTAGTTTACTATAGCATGTTATCACAAAAAATCAATATTTCATGGAGAAATTGACAGTCACAATTTATGTGAAATTATTAATATTTAAAAATCTATATTAAAAAATCTAATCAGTCAATTGTCAAAATTATTAGCCATTGCACTGGATAAATATCCAGGGCAACTTTTTACATCTTCCTTGTGGCTCTGTGACATCTGCTTTACCCCCTGCCGAGTGTCAACTACTTGGAGCATATCAGGCAACAGGTTGACCTTGACCTGACCTACTTTCCTAAAATTAAGTCACATGGTATAGAATCATTTTGTGACCTCACCTATGAAAGGATTTGTCAGAATGTTGAAAATTCTAGGAGATATTGCATTTTGAAATTTGCCAAATTTTCACTTTAAAAGGCTCTGTGGCCTTGAAAATTAGGTCAAGGTCAATTAAATTGGGTTGACCGGAATAACTTTTCATAGGCTATCAGTATGAATATTTTCAGAATTTTAGAAACTTTTTGACGAAAAATAAGAAGTAGAAGAAGAAGAAGAAGAAGAAGAAGAGGAACAGCAAAAACAATAGTATTCCCCTATGGGGAATCCTAATGATGGCCTTCTATTATGCTTACGGCTAATATGGTACTTGTATGTTTAGGTACAATATGATGATGATGTGTTGGGAGGAGGAACCGACAAAACGCCCGACGTTCGACAATCTTATCACCAGTCTTAGAGGCATGGCTAATGAAGAGATGAAACTTCACGTGGACGTAGACAGAGCTGCTGAGGCCATATACTGTGATATTGACAGCCAGCTGGTCGGAGAGATAGTTTAATGTGGAAATACCCAGTATGAATATTTTGAAATACTGCAGTTGGTCACTGTTAATTAACTAAATTCGACCAAAATATTTAACTGTTATTTGCCAGTCGTCTTTTGTTAGCTAAGTATGGACGAAATATGTTTGATGAGTTATGAAAATGGACTGGGATTATGCAAAAGACTATGTTTTCCATGTTATGCCACGTACGCGGTAGCCGTGCAAATATAATCAAATGGACTCACAGCCTCCGTATATTCTATGGTTTTGCCAAACTAAGCTTTTGACATTTTCAATCCTAAGCCGTACGAGATGATGATTGGACCTGCAGCTTTTTGGAGAGACGGCGTTTTCTATATAATCATTCAATTTCATTCCAGCAATTTGCCTAATCACACTGTAAACAGATCAAGGCACTGATAGATTCTGTACCACGTACACTATATTTTATATGCCACAAGTAGGACATAAATCACATGGATAACGGTAAACATCACGAACTGAATCTGAAAATTGAATGTTTTCGCTGATATTTATAACTTTTATCGGTCGATTTTGACAACGATTATACGTGTGTCTATGCAAATGATTTGAGTTTAGTATTGATTTCTGCATTTAATCAAGTGCATCTTTTACACTAGTAGGAAAAGTATAAAACTGCGTTCTTCATGTAAAAGTAACTTTTTCACACCACTGCCTTTAAAAAGATATGCATTCGTTGACAAATAAGAAATATAGGATGAGAACCTTTTTGCCAAATCTTGATATGTAATTAATTTTTCTTATTTTGATAGTGCATAGAGTCCACTTTGGGATATCAGTACACTTACATGTAGTTTTATATACGTTACATGCAGCTCTAAATGATACGAGTAATTTAGTCACTATAATTACAATTACAATAATTCCAATTCTTACAATTTTTTTTCATTTGTAAGTATCTGTATAATTACATGCACATGTATATTGTAACAGAATGGCGGATCCAGTGGAAAAAGCGGGGACGTGCCCTTCTTCTTAAATAATGAAACAAGGTACAAAACTAGGGTTTTTTCATCCCAGTGCCCAGCAAACCATAGCTTATAGCCAATTGTCCTGATCTACTGTTTTGTATTTGGCGAGAAGGTAGAGAATGTTATCATTCCCCCCTCTCCCCCGCACACACACACGCACAGCACGCAAAACTCTGGATCTGTCAGTGAGAAAGCAATGCGAGAATCAAATGTGATCTCTGCAATCAGTGGTTATGCTCATATTTACGAACAATTTGATAATAAAGCACTCACTTAATTGTTGAGCTTTTACTAATTAAATTTTGGTTCGGTAATCATACTTACAGCATTGGCTTCGTATTTACGCGCTTCGATTTAACGCAGTGCATTCTGTGCCAAAGTGATGTTTAGCTGTAATGTTTATATCAGTATTTGTGTTAATTTAAGTTAAAGACGGAATACCCTGATTGTTAACATATACATATAGCAAATATTTAGGAATATATTCAAAATAAAGAACGTGCAAATGTTACTGAAACAATATTCAGTAACAAATAAACGATTAATCACAAGAATGCTGACAAAAAAACATATGCATTATATTTTATAAAAAGCTGGAAAAAACACGCTGTTTTTGGCACAGCATGAATTGTCAATTAAATTTTCTCCACGCAACTATACGCATGAATTGTCAATTGTCAGTTTTCAGATGACGGTGTAACTAAACCATTTTAAGGAGTTGCACCATTTGCATACTTAGATTTTCCTCATTATTTTTATTTTAACAGACCAACATCGATGAAGTACAGTAGCTAACCAGACGTAAGATGTTCAAATGTATCATAAAATCGTTGCCTTGCAGACCCCATTGCTAGTGATACCTAAAAATACAAAATAAACGTGGTTAGTTCTTCTATAGCTGTGCGTCACATTCAATAAAGGGACGGGGGAGCACAAAGTTAGCCGCAACTGGTTGTGATCCTAATATCATCACAACTATCGCAATTTCTTCATAATCTGAGCCAAGTCTTTTCAACTGTTATACACATTCTTTAGGGTTAAAGATAAATCTTCATTGTTCAGTAACAAAATTAATTAACATTTACACATTTGTCATCTTACCGGTGACGTCACAATTGCGATTTTGGGGTAAAAATTTGAGAAATCGGTTTCTCAGATTTCCCTTTTACCCGAGCACCCACGATCACAGTTTCAACACCGATTTAATGACACCATTTTGTACTCCAAAACCCTGCCAGTGATTTTTCTTAAAAGTCTTAGTTCAGATAATACCTTTGTTTTATGAAATCTGTAATTAGGGTCAATCAATTCAAATAAGATATATGCAAATAGAATCCAAAACTGTGTCAAGATGCTCGTTGTAAAGCAGTCGTTAAGCAATCACTTCACCCAAACTCGATACGGAAATGATCAACGACTGTGGTATCACTACGGTTATCTGGTTACCATGGAAATGTCACCGGAAGGCTAGCAACAGACATAACACTAAACACACGAACCGTCAATTTCTAAAGATTAAAAACATGAAATTCTTATCTTAAACGTCTCTCTTAAATGATGTCAGAATGAAGCAGCCTATATGTGTGTTAAAGAAATTTACCATCAAGCGTGGTATCGATGAAAATGGTGTGAATGAAGTTGATATGTACAAATTTTAGAATCAGAGTTTGTCAATTGCTTTATTAGTATAAATCCCAAGTGATGAATTTGTTTGTCCTGAGTTAATCGTTTGTGTTATTGACGGTCGAAACTGGTTATCAAAAGCGCATTCTTAACACTTTAATTTTGACTTTGAACGAACAGCATTATACAAAATACGAAATCTAAGATACAGCACGAAGCCAACTATACGTGTACGTGTAAGGCCCCGTTCAGAATGGATGACACGAGTACTTACTGATCCGCCGACTGAATATGGCCGACCACACTTCAAAAGCGATGTCGATGGTGCCCCCGCCTCCAGGTCTCTCCCTAAAGTCGCTGCAGAGCCTAGCAATAAAACCTCGGGCCAGAGATGTAATTTGTTTTAAGGCACGTGTGGAGTCGGGGAGACCATCAGGAATCAGCGGCATCGCTTTAGAACTGGTCGGCTATATTTAGTCGGCGGATCAGTAAGTTCTCAGATCATGCATTTTGAAGGGGGCCTAACTGTTTAATAGAAAATACAACTCTTATAGAATCCCAACTTCAAACAATTCTGCTTAATTTCCATAACCAATACATTTCCTTCGATAGAAGTAACATATTTTCCGATGCAGTACATGTCGCACACTGTTACAGCTTACATTTTGTACAGAAAACGGGATTCTGCAAACAGTCATGTAGTTCTTACAAATAAAGGACTGATCACGTTTTTCTGACTTCGGCGTACTCGGTCTTGGAGTCCTCATCAATAACAAGGTTGTTGCGTCTACCTGCCGGTTTTATTTTTCCCGTGGGACGTAGATCGAGGTCGGCATACTGGAGGCCTTCTACGTTCCGCTGCTGCTTTGCCTCTTGTTCCTGCCGTAAAATGAAAATGATATTATATTTATTTCTATTCGTTAATTCAAAATTGTCTGATAGAAGAATTTCATTTTATCACTCCACTCCCCAAAATCTTCTTTCTCATACTGCTTGCCTGTAACAATCTTTCTCTCTCTCTCTCTCTATCTCTCTCTCTCTCTCTCTTTCATAAACACTCACTTTTCTGACTTCTTGTTGCTTTTCATCTTTTTCTTGCATAGGAAATGATAAATATGTTCTCGAATTTGAATTGTAGTATTTACTTTTCTAAGATTTTTTCCTCCTTGTTTCTACGTTTTTTATCATGAAAATTAATATATGTATTACTGCTTTTTCTCCACGCTTTTTCGTTCAGTCTTAAATTCAGCTTAAATAGTTTTTTCGCTTTAGGCATCCCCTTATTTTCTACGTTTATTACTCTCTCTCTCTCTCTCTCTCTCTCTCTCTCTCTCTCTCTCTCTCTTGCACACACAGTTTTCTCACCATGGTCATCTCGCTGTATAGGTTCTCTGCATCAGTCGTTTCTTTATCTGAAATAAAGCATTTGCTTTAATCTATGTTATCTAGATTCTATTGTCGACATCCCAGGCCTACCCAACGACCAGACTCGGCACCGAATGATCCTGAATTCACCGGTAGATCAGACCACACTACCCGTTTTCATGGTGTGAGTCAGTACGCATTACACAGTATCATACCCTGAACAAATTTTGAGTGGTGATGCAATGCTTTTCAACCCCGCTGATAATCGTCACTATCACATCGCGTACTAGGCAAGAGCGGTGTCGCGTCTGATACTGTGAAATGCGTACTGATACACACCTTGAAAACGGGTAGTGTGGTCCGATTTACCGGTGAATTCAGGATCATTCGGTGCCGAGTCTGGTAGTTGGGTAGGCCTGCATCCGCTTCAAACATCATTAGAATGTCACTGACTACGACCTCAAGATGTACACTAGAAATGGCTAATTCTTTACGACTTATATAGGCCTATTGTAATGAAAATTTTAGTTACCACGTGGACTGTTGTTGTCAGTTCATAAATGTTCATGTGATTGTTGTGGGAGATTTATGTGCCTCTCCATTGATTTAATATATTTGTGATCAGTGCACCATTTCTATGGACATTTGCAGTATCAATAAGTTCCGGTGGGAATCCGCTAGAGTGAGGAAACGTTCATACTTCCTTAAATCCTTTACACTATTATGTATTATAATTAACCCTTTACAGTTTTTATTTATTTGGCGCTAACTTGCTATCAGGTTTTTATGGCTTTTAAGAAGTGTTGTTCATATACTTTTGCCACATAAAGAAGAAAGATAAAGACAAAAGATCTAGCTGTCTTGTGCCCCTTCTGTTTACACATACAGTATACACAGTTATAACAATGACCACGATAAAGAAGGCGGCGAAACCAGCAGCCACTCATTAAGGGCCTCCCACGATGAGCCCGATGCCAGGTCTGCCCTGTAGATCACCGCTACAACTACCCATTACTTAAAGAAGAATACTAACGCCATTATCAAGTAGTACATTCGAGTAGTTCCCTCTGTCTTTTTAAAGGGAAATTTAAGCTATACAAAGACACCCAATATCAACATAAACACAGGCAGCAATCATGCAGGGCGAGTAGGTGTCAGATTCATTATTTTTACTTAAAAACAAAAACTGAGAAGTGCTGCCAAGAACACATGTCGTGATTACTGTATCAAGCCGAGAGTTGTCCACCTAATAGAGGATACGCCACTGAAAGCCCCTTTCCAACTCCTTGTTTTAAATTGTTCGAGATAACCTTTCTAACTATGAAAGGCAGTCGAAAAAAGGGTTTGCTTCACAAATAGGAGCATACATGTTTTAGTCTTACCAGGTGTAAAGGTTGCGCCTGTAAAATGGGAAATTTTCAAAATAAGAGTAATTTGCAAATAAACCTAAAATATATTTCGATACCAAAAATTCGATACCATGTCTGTAATGTACAATGGCGGACTTAATGGGGTCAGGGGGTCCTGACTCCCCCCCCCCCCTCCNATTCTCCTTTTGGAATAAGGATTTTGACTAGCTAATTTATAGTTCCTAACCGTTCCAAATGGCACCGTTTTTCCTCAAAAACACCAAAATATTATGGAGCCCTTCAGCAGACCTCGAACTCAACCACAAGAGGTACAAGAGTCGGCTTGTTATTCGAGGCATCTCATAACTGGCGTTCTTCACGGTCGTCTCGTTGTATTGGTTCTCTGTCGGTGCAACAGCCGTGTCTTTGTCTGAAATAAAACATTTGCTTTAATCTATGTTATCTAGATTCTGTTGTCGACATCCGCTTCAAACATCATTAGAATGTCACTGACTACGACCTCAAGGGCCTATGATGTATTATAATTAACCCTTTACAGTTTTTATTTATTTGGCGCTAACTCACTATCAGGTTTTTATGGGTTTTAAGTCGTGTTGTTCATATACTTTTGCCACATAAAGAAAAAAGATAAAGACAAAAGGTCTGTCTTGTGCCCCTTCTGTTAATTTACACAGTATACACAGTTATGCAATGACCACGATTAAGAAGGCGGCGCCACCAGCAGCCACTCATTGAGGGCCTCCCACGATGAGCCCGATGCCAGGTCTGCCCTGTAGATCACATCTACCACTACCTATTACTTAAAGAAGAATACTAACGCCATTATCAAGTAGTACATTCGAGTAGTTAACTCTATCTTTTTAAAGGGAAATTTAAGCTATACAAAGACACCCAATATCAACATAAACACAGGCAGCAATCATGCAGGGCGAGTAGGTGTCAGATTCATTATTTTTACTTAAAAACTGAGAAGAACACATGTCGTGATTACTGTATCATGCCGAGAGTTGTCCACCTAATAGAGGATACGCCACTGAAAACCCCTTTCCAACTCCTTGTCTAAAATTGTTCGAGATAACCTTTCTATATATATATATATAACAGTACAATAACAAATGTTTTTACATTTGGATGCCCGCAAACTATTTTTTCTTTCCCTACCACTTTCTGTGCCTTTCTCTCCGTATCTCTCTCTCCGACATGCTTCCGCCCTATCCGCATGTCTCTCTCTCACTCAATCCTTCTCTCTCTCTCTCTCGTTAAATATTCTAAACTTTTAAGTTTATAAACCGAAAGATATCAGAAGTAATTTAAAAAAAGCCCCCCTTTCGAGCGCCACCCTCATGGTTGGGGAGGTTAAGGGGGCTGTAGTGGGACTTTCAGTGGCTGTTAAGGCCCCGTCACACTTATTCGGAATCAGCAAGAATGAAGAAGAATGAGCCTCAACGAAGCATTTTTAAAATTCGCACCACATTCGGGGAAAAATTTCAAATTGACCTTAATTGTTGTAAGAGTACCGTTCGAATACTCAGAATGCGCTTGGAATCGCCTGGAATGATGAGTGCACTTTCGACTGTGTTAGCTCTCAAAAGCAGTTCGAATGTAGTTGGAAAACTAGGAATATTTATAATGCTGTATGAAGGCAGTAAGAATATTAAGAATGTACTTTGAACGGCGCACTAGTGTAGTCCGATTGCTGGCAACATTAATATTTCAGCTCATCCGAGGCACATTCGAAACATTCTGGCGGAGTATAAAATCCCCGTCACACTAGAGGCGGAATGATTAAGAATGGCGTCTGAAATACAATTCTTTTTGCATTACAGGATATTCGAAGAGCATTCTAAAAACATTATAAAAATTCTGAGTGCATTCCAAATATTTTTACCCATTCTTGTGGCCGACTCGAATGTTTTTGTGATGTCAAAAACTTTCGAAGTGCATTCCAAGAGGAAATTTATCGCAATATCCCTTCAGTATTCCAACTACATTCGAGCTGCATTTGAGAGGTAATATACCTGGAATGAGCTAGAATCATTCCGGGCGGGTTCGATGCGCATTTTTAGTTTTCCAGAGGCATTCTTACAAAGCCGTAATATTTTATGCTTATTTGAAATTCCCTCCCGAATATGGTATTTTTTAATTTATTTAATTCCGGTTTGATTCCTACTGATTTCGAATAAGTTTGACGGGGGCTTTAAGTCACTTGTCAGTTCGAATATTCCTCTAATGTGATCATAATGTTTCGAATGATGTCGGAATACCGTGAGAATATTTAGAATGCAGTCATAGTGCAGTTAGAATACTGTTCAAATGCCATTTGATAAATTTCCACTTGGAATGCACTTCGAAAGTTTTGACATGACAAAAACATTAGGGATGCCACAAGAATGGGTAAAAATATTTAGAATGCACTCGGAATTTTTAGAATGTTCTTCGAATATCCAGGAGCGCACAAAGAATTGTCTTTCAGACGGCATTCTTGCTCATTCCGCCTCTAGTGTGACGGGGGTATAATGGGGAAAGTGCCAGAATGACATATTCCAACGTAAAAGTTGATTTTAATGCTACACTGTATATATCAATAAAATCACAAAGCCAGCATGCTCGCTCCTTATCCTTACGAAGCCATAGAAGTATATACCAGCAAACACAGAACGTTATCATAACGTTACAATAACGTTTGTTGTTGTTGTTGTTATATAGAATATATATTTACGTTATGGCAACGTTATGATAACGTTTTGTGTTTGCTGGGATGGTATACTTCTATGTTGTAATTAAGTGATTATGTGTCCTGTGCGTTGGGGCATAAAAATAATTTAGCTGTCCCAAGTTTTCTATTCACCAGCAATCACTGGAGGAATTGCACTTTTAAAATAAAAAACATTTGTATCATAATTAACCAATTTTATCAGAGGATAACAACTGTTTGTACAAGCTTCATATTTCACAATAAATGCATCGTAAGAAACTCAGGCAAATAAAATAAATTCCATTTCACCACCAAAACACTGGTAATCGCAATTATTATGGAATCTGAGACATTTAAAAGATAAGAATGTCGAAATAAATTCATTAACCATTGGTAAGTATTGAAAAATCGTCGCATACCCCAGGAAATCCGTTTTTGACCAAAACGAAATGTAGTTATCATCAGGTTTAAGCTTAAATGTGTTCCTTAATTTGCTTTAGGCCACACTTTTTTATTTTTATGGATGACATCCTCTGAGTACCCCAAAATCGGTGCGAGAGGGCGAAAAAAAAAAAAAAAAC